GAAACGATACTGAACTCCCTGTGTCTATTGTCATATTTATGATTTGATTTTTTACTCCAATCAACGCTTTCAGTGCTTTTATGTGATGCGACTGTGGATTTCTGCGTAATTTTTTTCCATATATTCCGAGTAGCGGACCGAGGCTTGATTTTGATGGCCATGATCTCGAACTCGGCGCATGAATTAAAGCTCTGAATTAGAATACACTCTTCCCATGAACTTGAATTTTCTTCTGTAACCTCGTTGACTTGTTCCAAATGGCACATTTTATCGAACTGATTTGGATGGCTACCGTTTTTGCATGTCTTTCCCATTGCCCTACAGTTTTTAAAATGTCCCTCGCCGAATGTTCTTCCACATCTAGTGCACTGTTTTTGCTTGGTCCAAATTTTGTATTCCTTTCCTCATTTGTTTTCTTCCTGAATTGGTCTCTATTCGGTCTTTTGTAGTTTTGGCCCTTGTTCCCACCTGACATTATAGGTTTTCGCTCAATTTTAATCAACGTTCCGGGAAATTGACCAATGTTTGTTTTCCCGTTACTGACTTTTGGAACGCTTGTGTCGTTTGTTTACTTTGCTCAAAATTAATGGCTCGTTTGAGTACCTCGTCTGGCGTAAACGTTTGAAATGTTAGAGCATCGTGTAATGCGGTATTTTTCATTTTTGATATGAATAAGTCTCGGACTAGTTCTTGTTCCAGCACACCCAATTCAACCGTGGCTGCCTGTGCAGTTAGTGCCGCACGATTTGATTCTAACGTCTTTTCATTTTCTTGCGCCCTTGTGAGTAATCTATATCGCTCACATGTGATGTTCTTTGTTTTTCGAACGATATTTTTGCCAATCTCACCATCTCCCTGAGCTCAAGTTTTGATATTTCTATATGCGTGTTTTTTTTGAACCATTTTTTTGTACCCTCGGTACCCAATGCCAGAAATAATCGAGATGTGAGTCGTTTCTGTACTTCGTTATAAAACACGTTGTGACCTACTTCAGGTCCGCGCTCCCTCTTTTCTTCATTTTCGAGAATAATTTCATCCCTTAAAAGTCTGTCTCTTGCTTCCCTGTCCATTACTGCCTGTTCATCATCATTTGTTCCTGGAGTCTCTGGACGAGGAAGTGGTTCCTCAATAACTGCTTGCGGGTCTCCTAATAAGATCTCAGGATTCACAATTTCATTGACTTTCACCGCTAACAAAAATTGGTCAAATCAAACTTTGAAATTCCTCTGAAGATCCGAACTTGCTGATGTCCAGAAAACAGGAATGCCCATGTTCGTTCGGTTGTCCTGTGCCATGAATCCTGCTGGCTGCGCCATGTGGTAAGGGATAGAATACTGCTGAAAACAATGTAGGTTTCAAGATTTAAATTTAGTCTCTGAAACTGTTTTTTTTTATTTTCTCTAAAAGGCTCTTAGGTCAGATCGAATTCCGTCAGTATCAGCCGTACAGAGATCTGCCTCTCAGCTAATTCGACTCAGTGATCAACACTGAACGACCTTGGTATAATAACAATATTTGATTACAGATAGCAATACGAATCTCACAGTTAGTGTACAGCAAGGTTAACATATAATTTTTGCGCATGCAGTATGTGCTGTACCACAGCCACCTCTTTGGAGCTATTTCGCTTCGCATAGCTTAATTTTGTATCTCAAATATGTTTAATTAAGAAAAAGACCCCGAAAAAAAGGCATCACAAATAAATATCATTTATATGGCAAGGCTTACCAAACACAAAACCAGGTGACTTCCGAAATGGCAAAAAAAAATAAAAAGGACCAACGGTTGCTTCCAATCATGGTAATGACCGTGAAACACTTTCAAAAATTTTTTTTCTACAGAACTTTTATGTTGAAAAATTTCCGCCAGTCTTGGGGTGGTAAAACAAAATCGAAATTCAGTCACAGTTTGATCGTTTAATGACAAGAACTAGTCCTAGTTACAATTTTCAGTTGATGCTTAAATAATCAATATACAAACTTGCCAGATCTATTGCGGTTATGCCCTAGTTCTGTAGATATTTCTGTAACTCTATTTTCAATTCTAGGTTTTCTTGAGATCCTTTCTTGATACAAATGATGCAAACCATTCAGACATTTAGTCGTCCTTGGGTACATATAAATCGTTAGGTCAGATTGAACCCAAATTCTTTTAGCAAAACTTTTATGTCAACAAAGACATTTTGAGGTTTTTGTTTATGAAACCGAATTCGAGGGATCAATTGAGCAATTTCCACATTCCCGCGAGGGGGGAGGAAACTCAATAGGTAATTGAGATATATTTACCACTTGAAAACAGTTTAAATGGCGGCCGAGAAAATTAGACGACAAGCAAATTAGACGACCGTAAAGAAACGGAATTTACGGACAACCAGTATTTACTCAGCCAAAATTAATTTAAGTCTGTAAACAAAATTCACGCAATTTGCAGGCAAGCTATTGTCTAGTTTCCGTTATTTTCTGATCGTCTAGTTTCTCAACGCCTTTTTTCTTACACCCAGTTAAAATGGTATGAAGCCATGAGCGAGATTCTCCAATGAAAGTGGAACTCCAAATTTTTCAATATCAATTCACAAAAAAATGTTCACAATGAAAAAAAAATCATAAAAACTGATGCATACAAAGCAGAAATTTTTCGGTCTCAAACAAAGAAAAAAACGCTATTGCGTACATCAATAAGGTGCTGAAGAGTTTTACAAATGCAGCTACAAAAGAGGAGCATCAACTCTTTCCTAGAGGCAATGTTTGCCCAAAGGAAAATTCAATTTATTTTCGATTTTGTTCTTTGTCAAACTTTTTTCTCGACACTCATAAAATAAACTTCAATCGGTCAATTGATTGCATTCCTTGAACAAATCAACCATCTGCTAGAGTTTGATAACGTGTTCAGTAGCGTTGTATCATTTTTGCACAAGGAAAATAGCTCAATTAGTCATTACGATTCGGGGGAGATTGCTCAATTGATACAATTCTAGGTATTTTTGGTTATTTTAGACTAATTTTGTAATAGTTTATAATAGCACAAAAAGATTGCTCAAATCGACTTTTAAGTTTGTAAATTAGTTTTGACCAAAATGGATATCATAGTACAGAAATTTTATGAAAATTGTACGACAAGCATTTCTCCCATGCATTCAAAGTATGGAACTGCTTGATAAGCAGTTTTATTATGTGAAATTGTATGACAAGCATTTTTTGCGTATGCAGGTCAAAACGGGAGTTATGTTTTGCAGCTCTTCACACCTTGGAAAAATACGCAACAAATTTTAAGAAAAAAAAGTTTAGGTTTTGATTAATCTTATTAATATGGTTGGAACTTTCTGTGCTACTCGCATTTAAGAAAAGTGAAAACAAATCGATTATAACGGATTTTCGTGGTCTAAAATGTTGGTAAATATAATCGTTTCCCAAGTTACGCTCGGACAACAAAATTGGACTAAAAACGGATTTAAATCCATTTTTTCTCGCAATAACAAAATGCATTATAATTCATTTTGTATCCATTATTATGGATTTTGTTTCGCGCGTCGTGTAGAATTTTGCAAAATTTTTAGCATTTCTTAAGTGAGTGATGCGGAAACTTTGCAAAGCGAGTGTACGGCCTAGCCTAATCCATTTCAAAACCTAAGCTCAAATTGCAAAAATATTCTGTTAAGCTCTGAACCCCTCGCCACCTGAACTCCCCCCCCCCTCACCTGAAACCCCCCCAGGGCCTGAAAAGCAGGTTTATGCATGTCTCAGGTCTTCCCCCACCATATTTGTGGCGGTTGTTGTAAATGGGCAAAGACTAGGGGGGGGGGGGTAATGCTGAGTAACATAAAAGAGTTTTAAGAATATCAAAGCTAGGTAGAAAAATAAATAAATTGAACAACAAGTAATCAACGTAACCAACTTCAGTTTAAAACATAGAAAAGACTTCATGTGCGTTGAAAATCGATTATAATTTAGTTTCATTGTCAGTGTCCACAAAAGTGAAAATAAATCGATTATAATGGATGCAAAAATGATTTTGTTGCCTCGAAAAATAGTAATATGATAATCCATTTTTAATTGATTATAATCGATTTGCTTTCACTTTTGTGGACACTGAAAAGGAAACTCAATTATAATCGATTTTTATTTATGGAACTCCAATGCGGGTAGTTACACATCAACCCACATATCTTGCTTCAAGTTTTCTTTGGTTGCGTCTACAGTGTCGAGTCTTCAATTCAAGCGATTCTGCAATGTAATGGTTCAGTAGTTATAATTTTTGGTTTGCAGATGTGGCCTGTTGCTGAATTCCGATTTACTGACATACCACATGTAAATATATTGTCTATATATAAATAGTCACTTTCTGAATACTTTTTTTGGTTACGTGCTTTTTGCAAGCGGTTCAGGCGCTTTAGCAGGTGGTATGGCGCACTTTTTCAAGCTTTTGGACAAACTTTGCCTATTTCTTTTTCCCCTAAAAAATTAGAGTATAAGCCTTTATGATGATGATGATGATGATGAGTGGTTTCTGCGATTCGCAGAGGATCAATGAAAGGCTTTTTCTAGCCTGTCTAAGCATAGTCCGTTTCTCTTATTTCCCCACACTCCAGACTGAGTTATTTTGTTGAAGGAAGCTCTTTTTTGTGCACTACTTTTAGGGTGCACCGGCACAAGAAAAAAGCAAAATTTGTCCAAAAGCTTGGAAAAAGTGCGCCAAACCGCCATACCACCTGCTAAAGCGCCTGAAGATGGTCGGCCAGAAACGGGTGTCAAACTATAACGTCAAAGGAGGGACCCTTTTGGCGGTCAGAAGGTTAAATCCCTCAGACTGGGCTTCGACACCCCCTCCCTGCCTAAATCCGCTAATTCAGAAGTTGTTTGCAGTTTGGTCATTTTGTCATTTAAAAGATTATACGGCTTCAATCATGATAAAACTTCTTCAAGAAGCTTTTGCCCAAAGATCACTCAACGATCGATCCTCCGTAGTTATTGATCACAAATAACGGTCAGCTGATATTGTTTTAGGATGACGAGGATTGCGACATCTTCATTGATCTAGACGATGTGGCTGAGTATGAGACTGATGAACAGAAACGCAACTTCATCAAGGTCACAATAACTTTAGCTTGTAGATCAGTAGTTTATGTCATCGCGCCAACAATTTTTAAATTTGCACGCTATTTATTTTAGTTAACCAGCCAGAGGCCTAACCCGAAGGTTAATTATTTAAGGTTAATTAAGCTATGACTATCTTACAAGCGTTCACTTTGTAAATAGCAGTGCACGTGCGATTAAAACCCGCAATCATCTGATTGCTGGGCACCATCACTACCGATGCGCCACAACGCCACAGTTTGACCAATAGCTTACTGCTTTTTTCTGAGTTTATCAGTCAGCCTTAACTAACCATTCTAAACTAAAAACTCTTATGTCAAATTGTTGACGCCGAACTTCAAAAAAAATTTGATTCGTTTTCGATAAAGTTTTTGTTAATTATAATGTTTCTAAAGATTGCCAATTATATTATCTTAAAAGTATCTGGAAAATTTTTTTGAGTCTGGAAGAAAACTTGGCATCAAAAAATAGGCGCGTCACTGACGAAGACGATAAAAATACCGCCTTCATCAGTGAATTGACTAAAATAAGCCACTGATTTGACTGAATTGCCCACTGAATTGGCTAAAATAGGTTTACTCATTTTACTCTTGTAAAGTAACCCTAACTTGATATAAGATTTATTAGTAACTCATTCTAATTGTAACCGGAGTTGAATCCTAAAGATAACAACAGTGTGAATGGCAACTTTTGTATGGACTCTATAAAGGATTCTTGAAGTCGTCAAGGTTCAATAAAATAGCAAGTTTTATTTCTTACAGAATCATGCAAAAAGTTGTTCAGGCAAAAAATTTTAATTCTCGATTAAAAGGCATTTGCGCTTGCAAGAGTAAATACTTGACATCAACTGATTATACAAACGGTTTTCTGATAGTTGTAGCCAAATACTTATTGATTTCAACGAGCAAAGGAATTAATTTTTTTCTTTACGTTTTTGTCGTTTTATCTGCAATAGAGGTATAGAGTTGAAATTTCAACACATGCTAGATGAAACTATTTAAAAGGATTTAGATTGGTCAAAAAATGAGAAATCTAACTTTGAGGGCATAAAATAGCCAGTATATCGTAGAATGTTTCAGAGGTGTTCTTGATGTGGAATTGCCTCGCAAACAACATAAAAAAATCTAAATAAATGTGCTCAAATTGGTTCTTTGGGAGACTGATGAACTTGCATTACTCTTTATACCGCGGAAAATTGACAAAGAGATTAATTGAAAAAGTGACTTAGTGCGGCGTCAAAAACGATCGTAACTGATTTTCCACGGATATGGGCGCTAGTTCACAAAAAATTTTCCAAGTTTTAGAGATAACATAAGTGCTATGAGAATCCTGTGCATAGATCGAAGCAGTCAGTTTTCGAAAATAGTTACTGGAGTAGCTTTTTCTTGGCTCATTTCAATCATCTGCGTGAAATTGCTTATAAATATTCACCCCTTTTTTTATCCCAGAATTATTCACTTTTTCTTCAATTCAGTATGTCATTCTTCCTATGTACCAAGAGTAAGCCAAGTTCATTAGTCTCCCAAAGAATGAGTTTAACCTCAGGGACTCAGATTTCTTAAGTTGTTTGCTAGGATGTTTCCGCATCAAGAGCAGTACTGAAGCATTCTAGGATATACTGGCTATTTTAGGCCTTCAAAGCAAGATTTCTGAACTTTTGGCCAGGCTGTGTTTTTAAATAGATTCTTTAGCATGGCATTAAATTCATTTGATAACAGCTTGGCATCAATTTCTTTTGCCGAAAAAACACCAGGAACGTATTTCGTATTTTTTTATCTCCACAAACCAGTTGCGGATCCAGGATTTTCTTTGGGGTAGCTTTTTCAAAAAATTTCAAAATTTTTGTCGACCTTTTTTTAGGTTTCCTGAATTCTCCAAGAACACTATAAAGACCTTTTTTGACACCTATTGTCGTTTTTGAGCATTTGTTTGGAAAATTTTGACCAAAACTTGCGTTTTTTTTTTGGAAGACCCTACCCTTTAAAATTAGTATATATTGGCGCCAAAATCACCTTCAGAAAAAAATTCGGTTTGGTTAGCAAAAAAGGATGTCATAAAACAATAACAAATGGGAGACCCTTTGGTTGGTAAGGGGGTCGAAGCCCGCCTTCCCTAAATCCAACCCTGCCCCAAACGCTCTCATTTTATCACGTAAACGAACAACGTGCATAAAAGGAAGTTAGGTTGGTAGAAACTTGGCAGCATGGTTATGTAGATTGATGATAGTGTTTTATTGTTATCGTTTTTCTTTTACGGTTGGAAAGCTATGTTTGCACATACTGTTAGATATTTCCATGCACCAAAACACGAACAGCCAAAGATGTGAGAGCTTTTTGTGATCATTTCCGCTCCATCAGCGGGTTATTCTAATCACGCTTCCACCTAAAAAGTTTTTGTGGTTCGCATCATATACATATCGATGTATTTTAATTGTGCCATAAAAACTTTTCCCGGAGGCGAACGATCTTTTTTTTTAGGTCAACCGAATTGATTTTCCGAGCACTCTCAGTAAACTATATAGACCCTCTTTTGACAAAAAAAATTTGTCCAGGCAAATTTTAAAAAAAAACGGTCAAAAATGTCGTTTTGGGCACTTTTAGGAAAATTTTGACTACAAAATCGCGTTTTATCGGCGCGCGCTCCCCTTCAAAATTAGTATACACTGGCGCCAAAGGCGCCTTTAGAAAAATTTTAGGCCAAAAATGGATGTCATAAAATATACCAAAGGGGGGACCTTTTGATTGGTGAGGTGGTCGGATCGTTGAGAAGGGGGCGCCCTCCACCTCCCTAAATCCGCCCCTGGACACAACACAAAAAAGCGCATAGAGCTAGCATAAAAAGCCACTGAATTAAAAACTGAATAAGCATTGTAAAAAAGTTATTCAGCATTAACGAAGCATACAATACTTGGGTACTGCAACGCTGAGCTAAAAAAATTTGTCATTAACACCATCATTTTGAAACACACCAAGCACAAACGCATCAAAGTACACGTTTGCCCCTCTAACACTATTTTATTAGGCGATTTTACATAAGCCGAAAAACCCTTGCCTTTTATAATAGTCAAAATCCGTTTTTAATCAATCATAATCAATGATATATGATTTTATATAGAAACCGACAATGAAAATCCAGGGGCGGATCTAGGATTTTCTCAAGGGGCGGGCGTATTTAAAAAATTTTTTTTTGGGTGAACCAAATTGATTTTCTGCGCTCTCCCAAAGCACTAAAAAGGCACTGTTTTGGCGCGCAGGAAAATTTTGAAAATTATTACCAAAAAGTTGCGTTTTTCGGCGCGCGCTTCCCCATCAAAACTAGTAAAAGGTCCGTCAGCCAAAAATGGATATCTGAAAATAGTACAAAGGGGGACTTTTTGGGTCGGCAGGGGATCGAATCCCTGAGGGGGATCTAAATCCGCCCCTGTGAAAATCCAATATCATTGATTATTATCCATGAAACTCAGTTTGAGAGATAAAGCTATCAAAGTTATCCTAGTCGATGCCAGAAGCAACCAACGCTCAAGCGATTCAAAACTGCGGTGTTGTTTTTATCTAGCGACGCCATAAAATAACTCTCTAACTTGATAAAGAACTATCGGAAAGTTACTCTGATTGTAAATAGAATTGAATCCTTACTCCAATGCAAAGTGTTTTAAATATAGATTTCTTTCTAAATATTGAATGAAGAATAATGAAGAATACTTGCCAGTTGCTGTGCAAGTAACAGAGAGTGTTCAGACCACATTCTGTAAAAATTATATATATCATATATATAGTTTTTCAAATTAGCGTCTTTTTATGCATGGAAAGATATGTGATGAGAGAACTATATGATAATGTGTAGATTTAGTGATTCAGCCATAATCGAAAACAATTGTTTTTAAAAATGAAAAAAAAAAACAAACAACGAAAAAAATCAGAAAAATTTTTCTGTAACTTTTTCTAATGTTTTTGCAGATTAATATTTTGCCATTGATCACTAAATGAAGCTTCCAATAAAATTTTTTCTAGATAATTGCTAAGTTTTTCACTTCTATGTAAAAAAATTACTCACTCGAGACGAAATTAGGCTAAAAACCAAAATTTTTTAGTTTTTTCTACACAAATTTTTTTTAAAATGTCCATTCAAATGGCTTTATTATGATATGTCACTCGATTCATTCCAAAGACTTTTTGTATGGTACCTAGTTTTGCGTGAAAAACACAAAAAGCTAAAACACCAGTTCCAGTGGTCGGAACAATAACCGCCTCATAACGATTGCTAGACTACACGTAATACAGACAAGTACTTGTCACATCAACATCTAACCTCAAACAGCTAAAGTTTGTCAACATCTAACCACAAACAGCTAGAGATTATGATTAAGCATTATTTCTTGGTTCCTATGCTCAGGCTCATTTCATCCGAGTTATATATGTTGTTTTGGTTCTAGGATTATCTCAGGGACTGCCGACACTCAACAGATGTAAGGCTGTCTTCTAAACCGCAATACGTTGTATTCTTCATCATATAATCATAGGAATATCATCAAAGTATTGTGAATGTGTTTCAGATTTTCATCACAGAACTGCTGGAAAAAATGCGCCATCTTCAAGCCACAGAAGTGGAGAAACATTCTAGAAGTTTCTAGGCATCTAAGCTTACCCATCCCAGACATGTCACTTCGTCGTAATAATTTGAGCGTGGATATTAAATCAATGTACTTGAACGCTACAACTGGTGCTAGTGCAAGGAAAACTGAAGTGTAGCAACAAACTGAAAATGTATGAAAATAAGAACAAGACTGCTCGTATCAGGGCGAAGCCCTGAATGTTCCGACTGCCTTTAAATGTTTAATAAAATGTCATAAAAATGAAAAAAAAATTCTTAAGTTTGAAATTTTTTATGAAAATTATCCCCCCACTCGCCATATAAAGTACAAAAGGATAGATTTCGCTCCTTGTAACAAATCAATTATGGCAAATAAGCTTCTTCCAACTAATTTGGAACAATTTCTAAGACGGATTAAATCTCCGCTTACGCGTTAATAGCGCGAATTATATCGCGCGTTAATTGTCCCAAATTGGTCAAAATGGCCAAAATGGCAATCTTTAAACCCTCATAACTTCATGAAAAATGATCACAGGTAAAATATCTTTTCAAATATAAGCTCAGGACAACAATAGCTTTCGAATGATATAAAAAAATTCCGTCAAAAATGGCTAGTTAAAAAGTCGAAATTTGTCTGAAGAAAAAAAAAACCCACCCCGAGCACAAATATTCCGTTACTTTCGTATCGAAAGTCGGAACAAAAACTTATTAATACTGCCAATTTCAGAATTGATTCGAACATTCTATAATTCAAAAACAAAGTTCTGTCAGTGCTTTTTACAAGTTATACGATATACGACAAATTCAATGTGTTGTATAGTGTAATTGAGTTCATTTCGGAAGCTGTCAATCAAATGTTCACTCTTGGTGCTAGACTAATTGATTAGCAGGTGTTTGTCCTTGGAACAGTCTGTCACCCTTGGATACTGTTTCTAACCACTCTCTATGCTAACTTTGTAAGATTAAGTTGACTATCTCTTCTATCGGAATTAACAATTGCACGACGATCGTTTTACCTTCTCGACATGGCGCAGTGAGCAGGATCAGGTGGGGGAAAGAATCCACTGGGCATCACGGGATTTTGGCCAGCAAAATGCACGGAACCGCCAATGATGTGGGAATTCTGGATTAACAGATTCCAATGGGGAATGGTCGCCAAGCACTCACTAAACCCGATGAACTTTTACTTCGCCGCGACACTCACAGAGGCCCAAATTACTGATTTGCCCGCGGAAGTAGACGGAAAAAATCGGCGGGAATCAGAACAGATGTTGATTTCGAACCTGTATTTGTGTCTGGGGGAAAAGGGGCAGGATGAACTGCACAAAAGACGACCACACCTGGACCTCCAGACGATTCGTTACCCACGGATGATAGACGCGCTGGAAACGGAATTTAAGAAAGAAAGAAATGAAACATATGAAACATACCAACTCCTTTCTCGTAAACAATTTATCAATGAAAGTTTGGAGCAATTCCACTCCGTACTCAGCGGATTGGCAGCGCGGTGCAATTTTGGAACATTAGAGGAGCGAATACTAAGAGACGTATTCATTGTTAACATGAATAATCGGGATGCACAAAAGGAACTATGCAGGTCGACGAAAACACCTGAGGAAGTGTACCGGATAGCTCTCTCGTACGAGAGGGGTAACAAGTATGCATCATCATATGTTGCCACGAGACCAGTGGGGGCCCCAGGATCATCATCAGGAGGCAGAGGAATCCAAATAAAATCGGAACCAGTCGGAATAATCCGTGGAGGTTATCGGAACAATCGTGCAAGGGGCCGGGGCTCTTACCAAGGGCGAGGATCGTATCGAGGCAGAAATCTCCCCAATAACAATAAATGTTATAACTGCGATCAACAAAATTTCACCAGGGAACACTTGGACAGATGCCCAGCAAAGGGGGTTACATGCAATTTTTGCCACAAAATTGGCCATTTCGAACGAACCTGCAGGGCAAAACGTGGAAACCAGCGGGGACAGGGAGCCGTAGGAATGATACGGGAGAATGGCGATGATCATCACCTAGAAAATTCGGCGGACGAAGAAGCATCACAACATGCAAGTTCCATTGGATGGGTTAATAAGAATCCAGTGGTGCACTCGTGGGACTCAAGCAGTTCCGACGGGGACTATATGGTCATGGCCATAAAACGAAAAAAAGTAACAGAAATGAAAGTTGCTGGGGCACAATTGCCGATCAAAGTCAATGGGAAACCCACTCGAGTGTGGATCGATAGCGGGTCCCCAATTTCAATTTTCACCATCGGGGAATTACGAAAAACTTTGGGAACATCAGGAGTAAAACTGGACAATCTTACGGAGGAGGACAATGCTTTTCGGGATTATGGGAACAATCCAATACAGATGATTGGAACAATGGCAGTAACAATACAATCAAACGGCTGGAAGATCCAATGCAAAGTGTTTTAAATATAGATTTCTTTCTAAATATTGAATGAAGAATAATGAAGAATACTTGCCAGTTGCTGTGCAAGTAACAGAGAGTGTTCAGACCACCTTCTGTAAAAATTATATATATCATATATATAGTTTTTCAAATTAGCGTCTTTTTATGCATGGAAAGATATGTGATGAGAGAACTATATGATAATGTGTAGATTTAGTGATTCAGCCATAATCGAAAACAATTGTTTTTAAAAATGAAAAAAAAACAAACAACGAAAAAAATCAGAAAAATTTTTCTGTAACTTTTTCTAATGTTTTTGCAGATTAATATTTTGCCATTGATCACTAAATGAAGCTTCCAATAAAATTTTTTCTAGATAATTGCTAAGTTTTTCACTTCTATATAAAGCTGTCAATCAAATGTTCACTCTTGGTGCTAGACTAATTGATTAGCAGGTGTTTGTCCTTGGAACAGTCTGTCACCCTTGGATACTGTTTCTAACCACTCTCTATGCTAACTTTGTAAGATTAAGTTGACTATCTCTTCTATCGGAATTAACAATTGCACGACGATCGTTTTATCTTCTCGACATGGCGCAGTCAGCAGGATCAGGTGGGGGAAAGAATCCACTGGGCATCACGGGATTTTCGCCAGCAAAATGCACGGAACCGCCAATGATGTGGGAATTCTGGATTAACAGATTCCAATGGGGAATGGTCGCCAAGGACTCACTAAACCCGATGAACTTTTACTTCGCCGCGACACTCACAGAGGCCCAAATTACTGATTTGCCCGCGGAAGTAGACGAAAAAAATCGGCGGGAATCAAATGTTCACTCTTGGTGCTAGACTAATTGATTAGCAGGTGTTTGTCCTTGGAACAGTCTGTCACCCTTGGATACTGTTTTTAACCACTCTCTATGCTAACTTTGTAAGATTAAGTTGACTATCTCTTCTATCGGAATTAACAATTGCACGACGATCGTTTTATATTCTCGACATGGCGCAGTCAGCAGGATCAGGTGGGGGAAAGAATCCACTGGGCATCACGGGATTTTAGCCAGCAAAATGCACGGAACCGCCAATGATGTGGGAATTCTGGATTAACAGATTCCAATGGGGAATGGTCGCCAAGCACTCACTAAACCCGATGAACTTTTACTTCGCCGCGACACTCACAGAGGCCCAAATTACTGATTTGCCCGCGGAAGTAGACGGAAAAAATCGGCGGGAATCAGAACAGGTGTTGATTTCGAACCTGTATTTGTGTCTGGGGGAAAAGGGGCAGGATGAACTGCACAAAAGACGACCACACCTGGACCTCCAGACGATTCGTTACCCACGGATGATAGACGCGCTGGAAACGGAATTTAAGAAAGAAAGAAATGAAACATATGAAACATACCAACTCCTTTCTCGTAAGCAATTTATCAATGAAAGTTTGGAGCAATTCCACTCCGTACTCAGCGGATTGGCAGCGCGGTGCAATTTTGGAACATTAGAGGACCGAATACTAAGAGACGTATTCATTGTTAACATGAATAATCGGGATGCACAAAAGGAACTATGCAGGTCGACGAAAACACCTGAGGAAGTGTACCGGATAGCTCTCTCGTACGAGAGGGGTAACAAGTATGCATCATCATATGTTGCCACGAGACCAGTGGGGGCCCCAGGATCATCATCAGGAGGCAGAGGAATCCAAATAAAATTGGAACCAGTCGGAATAATCCGTGGAGGTTATCGGAACAATCGTGCAAGGGGCCGGGGCTCTTACCAAGGGCGAGGATCGTATCGAGGCAGAAATCTCCCCAATAACAATAAATGTTATAACTGCGATCAACAAAATTTCACCAGGGAACACTTGGACAGATGCCCAGCAAAGGGGGTTACATGCAATTTTTGCCACAAAATTGGCCATTTCGAACGAACCTGCAGGGCAAAACGTGGAAACCAGCGGGGACAGGGAGCCGTAGGAATGATACGGGAGAATGGCGATGATCATCACCTAGAAAATTCGGCGGACGAAGAAGCATCACAACATGCAAGTTCCATTGGATGGGTTAATAAGAATCCAGTGGTGCACTCGTGGGACTCAAGCAGTTCCGACGGGGACTATATGGTCATGGCCATAAAACGAAAAAAAGTAACAGAAATGAAAGTTGCTGGGGCACAATTGCCGATCAAAGTCAATGGGAAACCCACTCGAGTGTGGATCGATAGCGGGTCCCCAATTTCAATTTTCACCATCGGGGAATTACGAAAAACTTTGGGAACATCAGGAGTAAAACTGGACAATCTTACGGAGGAGGACAATGCTTTTCGGGATTATGGGAACAATCCAATACAGATGATTGGAACAATGGCAGTAACAATACAATCAAACGGCCGGAAGATCCATGCAAGGATCAAAGTAATCGGAGGGAACCGACCATCAATAATTGGAAGAGATCTGATGCCCCAACTAGGACTCCAGTTGGTGCAACAATCACCAGGGGACCACATAATGTCCATTGAAGAAGGCAGTCAGGACGCACTGGAACCGGAGGGGGAGTTGGATTCATGGCAAACATATTTCAGTAAGCAGTTTTCAAACTTTTTTAGCAGGGTAGGGAAAATAAGAAACTACAATGTACAAGCCGAATTTTTTGAAAACCTCACCCCAGTACAACAGAAGGGGCGTCGAGTCCCGATTTCGTTGCAAGAAAAAGTGGATGCCGAAATTGACAAATTATTGAAACAGGGTCATATCGAAAAATTATCCGAATGCTCGGACAAATATTTTGTGTCCCCAATAGTAATAACAGTAAAAAAGGATGGGTCCGTGAAACTGGCACTCGAGTCGAGGGAACTAAATAAACAAGTGCATAAGAATAAATACCAAATGCCGAATATCGAGGAACTAATGGACACGGTTGGACAAACGATTAGCGAAAAAAAACAGGGAGACATATATTTCACAACAATGGATTTAACATACGCTTATGGCCAACTGCCACTAACGCTGAGACAAGCATACAATGCAATTTTTCTCTTATTGGAGGCCGCTGGACGGGTACATACCGGTTCAAAACCGGATTCTATGGTCTCACTACAATGCCCGCGGAATTCCAACGCGCAATGGATTGTATACTCGCCGAATACCCGCAAGCGCATGCGTTCATCGATGATGTTTTGGTCGTAACTAAGGGAACGGCGATAGACCACATAGCGACGGTAGAGAAAATTTTAAAGAAACTGGATCGTGAAAATATGTCCCTAAAATTGACAAAATGTAAATTCGCCCAACGAGAATGCGATTGGCTAGGCCATAAAATAACCCCGACTGGAATTACTCCATTGGTGAGAAAAACAGAACCAATAGAGGCGCTAACGCCGCCACGGACCTTGTCGCAATTAAAATCGTTTATGGGGTCAATTCATAGTTTGTACAAGTATCTGCCGGCATTGGCCGAATCATCGGCACCGCTGCGACCCCTACTAAGCAAAAATAATGAATACATTTGGACACCTGAATGCCAGAACGCGTTCGAAAACCTTAAGAAACAAGTTTCTAACATTGTTGAATTACGGCACTTTGATATTCACAAAGACTTTCGTATAGTGTGCGATGCAAGCCATAACGGGCTCGGCGCGGTGTTGGAACAGTTAGGACCAGAAGGATGGCGCCCAATCTCGTTTGCGTCGCGATATCTTAACGAAGCGGAAAAGAAATACTCAACAAACGAATTGGAAATGTTGGCAGTTGTGTGGGGGGCTGAATACTTTAGAAATTACATACTGGGCCGAAGTTGTTTGATCGTTACCGATCATAAAGCCCTAATATCCCTTTTGAACGGTAATAACAAGAAAAATAAAACGATGTTTAGTCGTTTAACGCGCTGGTTAGATCGACTAATTCCTTTTGATTTTCAAATTGAGCATAAACCGGGGGCTAAAATTGGCTTGGCGGACTACTTATCACGTCATCCAAGTAGAGAAGCAACGCCAATTAGTACGTATGATAATATGTTTACGGTGGCAAAGATCAACCTAATTCGCACTGCGCTTGGCTTTAATACATCCAAGGGACCAAATACATCCAAGGGACCAATTTGTACAGCGGATAATAAGCATTCTTTAAATAGACTGGAAGTTTCGTCACAAAACGACTCGGTAGAGGGCGGAAAAACATGTAAGCGGAAATCAACCAATCAGATTCAAACACGTGGTTTAAGCCGACGGCTACGCGAAATACGCACTGGATTAGTTGGGGCTATTATTCAATCAGAACACAGTTGTTCAAAATTATCTAAATCCAACTCTCAAAATCCAAAGTTACTTAAACCCAGCCCTCAAATTTCAAAATCAAATATCACTATGGACCGCAGCATGCGCAAATGGCAGAAATTCCTTAAACAACATCCAAGTCTGAATAGTAGTAGCGACGAAATCGAAGAATTGCCCCCAAATGTATCACTAGAAGCCATTACCAAAGAGACAAGATCAATACGCACAAATACAACTCTCTCGTTACCCTCGGAATTCAAAGGAGAAACAGTACCACCAGTGGACCCAAACCTTGTATGTATGTCAATTATACCGCGAAATTGTAAGATCGTTAACAAAGCTACTTCATTACCTGACCTGTTTAATTTAAAATTCATAGAATCAAATTATGTATCGGACCCCCAACTGAGCGCTATTCGCGATCTCATTGTTACACAAGATCCTGAAATTCACGAAAAAGTTACTCAAATGAACCGTTATTATGCTCAATTCGTCAATGATTTCTCAGTAAAGGAAAACGTAGTTTGGATGGATGATAAATTAGTCATTCCAATTAACCTTCATCAGCAATTAATAACCGAATCCACGCGTACCACCACGGGAAATCAAATATGTTCGATGCCGCAAAAGATGTCTGGTATCCCTACATCTACCGTTCAATAGCTTCAATTGCCGAAGGGTGCCCTGAATGTACTGCAGCTGGTAAGAACTTAAAGACGTTAATAAATAAAAATCAACTGGGATCTGTACCGGAA